AATTCATGATCAATTTTTTTTGTTTTTTTTTTTTTTTTTATAACCCATGATAGAATTTTTTGTAATCCATGATCGAATGTTTTGTAATACTTGATTGAAATGTTTGTTTTTTTTTGTAATCCATGATCGAAATGTTTGTTTGTTTTTTTAATCCATGATTGAATTTTTTGTTGTTTGCTTTTTTTGTAACCCATGATAGAGTTTTTTGTAATCCATGATTGAATTTTTTGTAATCCATGATCGAACTATTTTTTTTCTTTTTTTGTAATCCACGATTGAATTTTTTGTTTTTTTTGTTTGTAATCCATGATCAAATTTTATGTAATCCATGATCGAATTTTATGTAATCCATGATTGAATTTTTTGAAAATTTGCGATTTTTTTTATTTAATCCATGATCGAATTTTTTTTTGTAATCCATGATAGAATTTTTTGAAAATTTGTGATTTTTTTTTTAATCCATGATCGATTTTTTTGAAAATTTATTATTTTTTTTTTTTAATCCATATTATTCAAAGAGAAAACGAGAGAGATGATGATTCTGAGGCCACCCTATCCCAGCCATATTATTCACATATCGAGTCCCAACAGCAACAGTGTAGGGATGCGCACGAAATACTGTAAATTAAATGCTGAATGGCGGTTCATGCAGGGAAAAAACATATCAATATTCGCATATTCATTCAAAAACATGAAAATTCTTAATGGAGTACCCTCATTTTTTATTGAATTCCTAAAAACCAATATTGATAATGAATTTTAATAATTTTTTCGAATTTTTTTTAAGCTTTATTCTGACCGATTTACCCGATTCCCGATCCGAATAGCCGATTCGCCGATCCGGATCGATTTTTTGGAAGCCCGATCCGGGTCACCGATCCGTTTTTTAAACCATTGCTTTCACCATACACTCCTGATCTCTTAATCACCAACCACAAATGAAAATACTTCCACCATAAATGAGCTATGTAAATCTATATGCCTATTTTTTTTTTTTGTTTTGTTCCATGGGGCACAGCTATGAGCGGGAACGTTGGGTTGGGGACCTCACAAAGCCACACCACATGTAAATCTACGCCACACCACATGTAAATCTACATGGCCATAATCCCATAAATATAAATTCCAACTTTTCCATTTATCACATGGTAGGCTCAGCAACATTCACATGTTATTTTGAAACATGAGAGCACACAAGGATTCTCACACTTGTTTTCATTTAACTTGGCTTCAAAACTACTGTTAAGGACTTTAAAAGACATGAACTTCAGACTAGTGGACGCTGAAGACTTAATGGCCCTTTCGGATCATTAAAATTACAACTGATTTGTAGGTTAAACCTTCAAACTTTGTACATTGCATAACCAGCTTACACAACTAAACACAGTAACACATAGGACTTCCAATTTAAAAAGACACATTTGGTTTACATAAACAAGATGCAGGTGAAAGAGGAGCAGATAAATTAGTCTATTCATTATTTATAGCCAGAAATCACAGGGATTTGAAGGTTCAAATATTTAGTTCACATAAACAAGAAAGCGGATCAAAGAGGACGAAGTTCATTTTTCAAGATTCAGAATCACAGGAAATTCATTCTGGTTGGAATTACAATACCTGCTCGCTTCAAAAGTTTACTGGATGCTTGTTTCGCCAGTGATAACAGTTCTTCCTGTCAGTCAGATAAATTTTCAAAAAGAAAAAAGATCAATTTTTATCCTCGTATCCCTATAAAAAAAAGTGGCTTAAAAAAACATATCAACAAAATAATTTTAACAGAGAAATTAATGCATTACCTCATTTACAGTCAATATCTTTTGCCCACGCATGACCCACTTGCCATTGCACATAACAGAATCAATATTTTCTGTTCGCATTGAGTAAACAAGGCTGGAAATACTGCAAATTGAGACGTTACAACTCATGATTAACAAAATAGAAAGCGACATGACAAACTAAGGAACTGGACTCACTTGCAAAGCAAAACCTTATACACAATAAAAAGGAGTTCTAGTGCTCATATTACATAACAAATAAACTGGCAATCATAGAGAGCACTATTGCTACATCATCAAGAAGTTTGCTAGATGAGGGAATATTAAGTTATTTTCCCTCTCATCTTCAGCTTGCAAATATGTCAGACTTTATTTTCCTTTTGGAAATCCTGCAGTGTAAAGTTCGTGTCTCAACTTTGAGAGAGAGCATTGGAAGCACTGTTGGTCCTTATTTCTATTCATCTTATTTGATGCCTTTCCCAGATTTCTTCACATTTATAAAAAGCAGATATGTACTGCTTTTTCTTTTACTCCTATCCTTGATCAGCACTGTTGGTCCTTGTTTCTATTCATCTTATTTGATGCCTTTCCCAGATTTCTTCACATTTATAAAAAGCAGATATGTAGTGTTTTTTCTTTTACTCCTATCCTTGATCCATGTAGCGGAATTCATATTCCATATGAAGGATTTAAATTAAGCTAGACCATAGGATCTACGATGGATGTCTTAGTCACTGTAAAGCCAAATTCCAGATATTGGAAGGCCTTCTTGAGGACAGACCAGACGTGGTCAAACTGCAGAAGTTCTAAAGAGATGAATTTGGAATAGGTAGTTGCTCTCTTGTGATGTCCTTTCCACAACGGAACAATCACTTGAAAATTATAAAAGAAAAAACATGATCCATGTAATTGTACAGGTTTTGGCCAAAGTTATTTTCTGGATGAGAAATACTAGGGCGCTTGCTCGTTCTGCATGGAGGATTTTGTAAACAGTTGGAAGACTATTTTTGCTATTGAAACGTAAGTCGAACTCTCCCAGGACCAGGGGTCATGAAGTTCAATTTTGACGGTTGCTCTCGTGGCAACCCTTGTCAGGCAGAGGTGGAAGGATGTTTGCACAACAGTCGAGCACAAGTTAACTTACTTTCTCAGGCCCAATTGGTGTTACAAATTCTAACATGGCCAAAAGCCTGTACTCTCATAGAAAGTCTGAAACTTTCTAACAGGGTATGGGGGTCTATCATTTTGATAGAAGGTGATTCTGAAAATACAGTCTCGTGGGCTTTGGGCTCATCTATGGTGCCATGGACACCCTAACCCATTTTCAAACAAATCCAAGCTATTACCAGTCTGCTGTTTATCTTGTTCAAACATGTATGGCAACAGCACTCATCTATGGTGCCATGGACACCCTAACCCATTTTCAACCAAATCCAAGCTATTACCAGTCTGCTGTTTATCTTGTTCAAACATGTATGGCGACAGGCCAACAAGATAGCATATGGACTGACAAAACAGAGGGCTGAGGCCTTGTAGATGGTTATCCATAGGCTCAAGTTATTTTCACATAACGCACCAAGTTTTGAATTGCTGAGGGTTGTTTTGGTTGTATTCCCAACTCAATCCCCCTCATCTGACCCCTCTCCGGTTTCTGTCTTCCACCCCTTTTATCTCCGTCCCCCTTGTTCCTCTTAGAAGTCAAAGCACTCAAGATTTGTCATTCAAGGTGAGGTGCAGATGGTGCTCATTGCTGTAAAGACATGACACTTCATACCTGTACACCCCTCCCGTCTTTTTCTTTAGGATTGGTTGTAAACAGAAGGCCTCGATGCAATTTCGTTAAAAAACAGCACTTTGCTAGCTGTTATTTACTACATCATACAATATGTCAACATTATTCAACAAAGAGAAAGCAAATAGCGTAATGGATTACTCCTACACTTGGTTTTAAACTTCTAAAGTGGACTTTCACATGAAGGCATCTACCCAATGGAAAATAAAACATGAAATAAAGCAAAGAAGGTTCATGTTACATGCTGTTGAAATATTCATAATGACGTCTGTCAATCTGATACCATCATAGCAGGTATGATGCAACTTTGGTGCCCAGTGCTCACCACATGCATCTACAATATTTCACAATCGCTCACTGTAACTGTTGGTACATCGAATGAAACATCTATCATTCATGCACTACAGACTATTGAAATTTTAAAATATGCAGTTTTGAGCCCTTTATGTGGAATGAGTTTATAACACCCATTATGTTAGTTCTTCATGTAAACTCCACAGTAATCTTGTTTGGAAAAGGAATATTGATTTAGTGATGGGGTCTTACCAATCATGCATAGGAACCATTGACCATGAGGAATGATTGATTACTACTACGTCTGCCTACAAACACAAGTGAGAGTTTACTATCAAAGAACAGAACCCAGAGATTTGAACAAATTACATCTTCTCTAGCATTAGGTTAAGGCAATTAGCTGTAATGCATTCACAACTGTACAGAAGTACATAAATGAATTCAATCACAATTCATTCCTCTAAACATGCATAGTTTTCTTTAGGGGTACATAAATGTCACAAAATATAATGATTTACGAGACTAAATGTGAAAAATTAATTGTTGTGCATTAATGATGAATCACGGCTGAGCATTTACATGATCAATAAAATAAAAATTATACAAGAAAACAGTCAACTGAATGGATTCCAGTCACTGATAATAAAATGAAACCTCAGTAACCGCCATCAAGAACCAGGAGGATCAGTTTATATTGCAGGACTATGCACGATAAAGAAAATGAGGCAACTGTAATTCATATAAAGCATCAATAACATTTGCTTAAACGGTATAATGAACCATTAGAAAATCTTGAAATGGGGTAGACATCCTTAAGCATATGTAGCTCTTGAGATACTGCTAAAGATTTGTTTATATTTGTGGTTTCTGCTTTTGATTTTAAATTTTTTTTTCTCGCACTATTATTATGGTTTCAGTTTATTACTCCATCTAACCAATCCCAGTTAATGCACTATTATTATGGTTTTAGTTCATTACTCCATCGAACCAATCCCAGTTAATGCATTCCTTCCCAAACTGAGTATGAGAGATGATTTTCTTTCTTTTTATCATTGAAAGTTAGTAAAAGAGAGTATTGAATGACCTGAACAGAGAATGGTACTGGGATCCAGTGCCCCATCCAGTGGACATAAGTAAATTTATAAAATAAAGGCCTTAGAAAACAGATCCATCGACCGACATAATAGCCAATGTCAGTCTATACACAGGACTACCAGAGTGACCATCAGGACACTACTGCATCTCTTGCAAAATTCATGTCACTTCAAGTACTTCCATCTATTGCAGGTGTTAGTGTGTGCCCTTTGTATCAGATGTGTCAATTTCTTTTCTTAATTGGGAGTCTGCCTCAAGATATTACAGCCACTACTAGGCATTTTAGAGATTCATCTTTAGTTTATGGACTAAAGAAAGCTTTGTATAGACTCAATGAAACCCATAGCTTCACTCAAGCTACCTTAAAAATGGAAATGCCTATGTTTCGGCCAAGTGAAAATGGATGTATCTCAAATCTGCAACACTGTCGATATCAATGGGAAGCCAATGTTGGTGGATATGGTCTTGTTGAATTTTATTGTCCTGTATAGGGCCAGAGCAAGTGTTCCATTGCATCATCTCTAAACGAGCTCATGGCTCATGTTTTGAGTCACATATCAATTCTCTTATAAATTAGTTACTACTTGGCAAAAGAAAATTTACAAGAATATAAATTAATATTCAATATCAAGTGATAACTGAACCACCATGATATAACACAAAGCATTATACCACTTTGCGTTGCATAAAGAACTAGAAACTGCTAGCACGTAAATTTCAGGGCCAAGGGCTAATGCATCCTAACAGCATTTTATGAAATTAAAAAAGGACACAGCTATCAACGCCATGCAAAGTGTTTTCTAGCCAGCAAAATGTCTTGCAAAGAACCATGCCACACTTATATTGCATTCTTTAATAAACGCATAAATCAATAAAAATCACAAAATCTGAGGCCCAAGTTGTTCAATTCAAACTGATTTACCTTCTTTCCAACCTCAAGAGAGCCTATCTCATTATCCCACAAGACTGCTCTTGCACCATTTACTGTCACCATTTTTAATACTGTCTCTGCAGGTACAGCCGTTGGATCAGTCATGCCTTTGACATGAGCTTCCCGTCCTTTGTTAATCAAAGATGCAAGATACATCTCATCAACTGTAACAAAAGCACATTTAAATTTATCAGGAAAATAAAAGAATTATAATGTAGTTCTAGGAACATGAGAAAGTTCCAGAAAGGAAAAGAAAAAAGACAAATTACCACGAAAAGGGAACAAAACAATTGAATAACTTTCTTTTGTTCCACAGCACTTAAAAGTGCTAATGACACAAACTTGACAACATCTCAATTCGCTCAACAAAATACATGCCAAATAACAAATATGCCCATTTTAAAAAAAAAAAAATTGTTGGGGTGGGGGGTGGGGATGACCCTGAGAGGGTAAAATTCAATATATGAGTGCATTGAAATCAGTCTTTAGGAACTCACCTTGGGCCAGATACTCGGCCTTGGGCTGAGGTGAGTTACTTGGACGAGTCCAAGTGGACTCGCCCGACTCCTGTACATGCCAAAAGCCCTAGATTATTTTTAATAGAAAAAATATGAAAAATAAAATAAGGTAGTAAAAGTAAAATTAAACCATAAACAACCCTAAAAATTCACCTTAAAAAGTATAGAAAAATGGATTTAGAAAAATTGATTTATAGTTGGGGACAGTTATCCAAAAAAAAGAAAATATAAAAATAGGGATTATGGAAAAAAACACTCACCAATCTTGGCCAAAAACATCCAAATCATGTAAAAAAAATTTATAAAACATTCGTGTACTTTTTACAATTTTTTTTGGATTTTATTTTTATGTATACCGAGTTGTACATACAACTAGGGGCAACTTGGCCAAGTAAATCGGCTGAGTCCAAGTGGACTCCATCAAGTCCTGTAACATTGATTGAATTGAAAGGAAAATAAATTAATTTAAAATGTAAACTCGACATATAGCTAAAGAATATTTTAGATCTATAGTTAAGACATTAACTTATTGTAATATATATCCCATGTTTCATCGGACTTTGTGGGCAAACCTTGTATAATACGAAGATAATAAGTTTCTACACGAGTTAGTTCAGTAATAATTTAAAGTTCAAGGCATATAGCTAAAGAATATTTTAGATCTATAGTTAAGACATTAACTTATTGTAATATATATCCCATGTTTCATCGGACCTTGTGGGCAAACCTAGTATAATACAAAGATAATAAGTTTCTACACGAGTTAGTTCAGTAATAATTTAAAGTTCAAGGCATACACACTGCAGCATGTACATGAAGAACTCCCTCAATGCCTTGGAGTAGCTCTAAAAAAGATTCAAAGAGGATAAAATCATAAAGCATTATAGCCCAAAAAAAATAAAAATAAAGATTTTCAAGAGAGCTTGAGGCCTTAAAAAACCATGCATCCAGAAATGCAGCACTTGGAGAGACAACAGGGGACAAGATCGAAAAAGTAACTGATACTCATTCTATTATTTGATGGTGCTCCATCTGTCCCCAAGGACACACAAATTCCAGCATCCAACATTTCTCTTATGGAAGCAAAACCTAGCATCCGCATTGCAGCTGCAGGACAATAAGATACTTTGACCCCAGCCTTTGAGAGAAAATCAATCTGTTATCAAAATATAAGAATGTAGTACGGCATTAAAATGCAAATCCATAAAGGGTCTGACATATAAATGGAAAGTCGATAAATAGAAACCAGACATCTTCTCAAACAAGTCCTGCAAACCCTCTATTTTCAGATGTAACGAAAAACCATAAATTATTCTACATGCCCACAAGCCAATGTTAGTATGAACAACCACAACCACAACCACATCTCATATCACAGAAAGCAAACTTAACAGTTGTAGGCTTAAAATCCCCTACCAACAACAAAGGGCTGAAGAGTTTGATTATTAATCCCCTATTGGTCATTTCTCAAAAGCATACGCATGATGATTATAACAAATAATGATCGAACTTTATATAGGACAGCTGGGAGTGTAGCTGAGATGAGGAAGTTCTATAAGACAACTATGGGACCAGCTTTGCTTGCAGAATATTGGGTGGTCAAGAACCAACATATCCATAGAATGAGTGTAGCTGAGATGAGGATGTTGAGATGAAGTGGCAAGACAATAAGGGATAGAATTCCAAATGAATACATTCATGACAATTTAGGTGTGGCACCAATTGACGATAAAATGTGAGAAAGTAGACTTAGGTGAGCTGACCATGTGCAGCAGCAAACCCAATACAACACCTGTTGGGAGGTGTGAGTTAGTTCAAGTGGAAGGCTCAAAAAGAGCTAGGAGTAGGCCCAAAAGGGCATAGTTGGAAGTAGTGAGAAAATATATGAAGACTTGTGGCCTCATCGAGGGTATGGCTGTTGATTGAGCACAATGACAAACCAATATTCGTGTAGCCAATCTCAATTAGTTGGGAAAGAGCTCTGATGATGATAATAATTGAACTTTATCATTTCTCCAATAAATCCCCTTCAGTGATCAGCAACACACTTCAAGTTGGGAACATTTTGAAAGGAGGTTACATTAGCATCCAAATAATCAAGGTTTTGCACTTCATCTCCATTAATTTTTTATCTCCCAGCAATGATCAAGGATCTCAGCACCATATAGAAAGCTAGAGATATCACACTTCAGACAATACTAACACAAACTAAGAAAGTCACAGCAAAAAGAAATCCTGCAACTACAAAAGCAAGGTCCAAATATCTAATTCACTACAAATACGCATTTAAACATAGACTCAACTGACACCCTTGGAGTTGAGTTTAATCACTTAGAGACAGTTTGCTCATTCAAACCATCATGTATATGCACATCGTTCTGTTCACAAATTTATACTAGTTTACCTTTTGAACTACATTTTATGTCATGGCACGCAGCTTTGATGTGAACAAGTATGGGAAATCAATAACCAAACTGTCAACTATTGGGCCCATTAGTGTCCAACCTCCCACTGGGCCCATTAGTGTCCAACTTCCCACTGGGGCCATTAGTGTCCCCAGTAAACACCTAAAAAGATAAGCAGCTGAAAATGCCCGGACAAATTCCAGCTCAAACAAAAAACACAAGAATTTCTTTAAAACAACTTTGTTAACTTCATCCTTAAAGAGTTAAACTCCTTTCAATTACTAACTTCATTGAAAATTTACACTTTTTATTGAGTTCAAACCATAACTACAGGGATCGGGAGCGAGGTCAGATCCATGATCGGGGATCGGGATTGGGATTGCAGGATAAAGAGATACACAAAGATTTGTGTGATAGGGATCAAGATCCGTACACCATGAGTAGAAGGGATATGATCCCAATATGAAGGGAACAAGGTCCAAATTTGTCTAGGTCCTCTAGGATTGTATAATAAAGCATATGGGATCGAGGTCCATCCAGCTTGGAAACGAGACTCTGCAAGAGGCTTAACTAGGGTACTGGGGAACAAAGTCCACTGAACCATATGAGTAATGCTCTTTCTGAATTCAGAAACCAAAGTATCATTAAATACAAAGAATCCCGCTTTAAAAATATTGTTTATTTTTTTGTTATCATTTGAGCATGTTTCATAAGTGAGAAGTGAAACTCAAAATGAGGATTCAAATTTCAGTTTCAAGGCATGAAAGAAGCTCTAGTGTCTAATGAAAATGCAGTGTCCTTGTTTTCCGTCGTTTGGGTCCTTCACCTAAGTATAATTGGGTATGCAATTAGTCAAACACTCTCTAGATTCAGATGAAAAAAATGATCCCGAGGAAAAGTAAGGGTCACCCTGCAAAAGACTCTGTAATGGTGGATATGGTCAATGAGAAGGCATTAGAGACAAAGACCAATTGTATACAGCTTATAGAGCTTCCAATAAGTGAATTGAGAAAGATTTAGGGTAGGAAGATTCACAATTTGTAAAGAAATATGTTCTTGCAAAAGAGAGAGAGAGAGAGAGAGAGAGAGAGAGAGAGAGGAGGAGGAGAGAGTAGTAGGTAGGTAGGTAGTAGAGAGAGTAGGTAGGGAGGGAGGGAGGGTGGCGGAGAGTCGAGTAGTAGACGTACGTAAGTAAGTGTGTACGTGGTAGTAGTT